CATGGATTTACTTTTTAAATCCATTCAGCTAGTCTGTATCTTTTAACTGGGGAGTTGAGACCATTTATATTTAGGGTAACTATTGTTAAATGCCATCTTTTCCCTGCCATGCTTCCATAAATAGTCCTGTTTATGTATTTTGGATTTCACTTGTACTTTTGCTGGGTCATTTACTGCATTCATCTTCTTTTGTAGTGATGTTTCTATTTCTGTATGTAACTCATCCTTAAGCATCTTATGTATGGCTGGGCAACTGGTTACAAATTCTTTCAATTTCTGCTTATGGTGGAAGATCCTTATTTCTCCTCATTCATAAATGAGAGTTTTGCAGGGTACAGTATTCTGGGTTGACAGTTTTTTCCCTTAGGACTTGGAATATATCTCGCCATTGTGTCCTTGCCTGTAGGGTTTGCGATGAGAAGTCCATGGTGAGTCAAGTTGGGTTTCCTCTGAATGTGATTTGTCATTTCTCTCATGCATATTTTAAAATCCGTTCTGTTTTTTATCACTGAGCTGAGTTTTGCTACAATGTGTCATGGTACAGTTCTGTTCTGGTCCTGTCTATTGGGAGTTCTGTGTATTTCTTGTATTTGGATGTCTCTTCTTTCTCAAATTGTGGAAATTCTCCTTTATTATTTCATTAGGAAGGTCTTTTAATCCCTTCTCTCTTTCCACACCTTCTGTAATTCCTAGGATCAATAAGTTTGGTAATTTGATATACTCTTGTAACTCTCCAACCATGATTTTTAATTTTCTAATCTATTCTTGTATTTAGTCTGACTGTATTATTTCCAGAAGTTTGTCTTCTAGTCCTGATATTCTTTCTTCAGTTTCTTCTATTCTATTGCTAAGAGATACCACTGCATTTTTTATTTTGTCTATCAAATTGTTCATTTACAGTATTTCATCTGGCTTCTCTTTAAAATCTCAATTCAATTAAATATGCAGACCCACCTCCTGGAGCTCTGTTTACTTCTGGATCATGATGGAGGCAGCTACCAGGGCTTTGGTGCACTAAGCCCTGCCTACTGGGGCCAGGTGCACTTCTTACTGGTGAATGAGATGAGCTCAGTTTTTCACTGTTTAGGACTAATCCTTGTTGTACAGTTTGCGTTGTGGGGAGGAAATTACTCTGAAATGTTGTGACCCTTGTGCTCAGGAGGGGCATGTTATGAGGTGGCCCCCTGCAATAGATGGGTGTGTGCATAGAAGGCAGACAGGGGGTCCCCTGCTTACACTTGAAAATATAAATGATCAATATGGCTTCTCCCTGCTGGCTATAAGTCCAGGCCGGGGGGAGGGAAAGAGACACAGAAGGACCATGGCATGCCCAACCTCTCTGCCCATTCCCCTACAATTTCTCCTTCTTACTTCTTGGAGTTTCAAACACAGTGCAGTTCACCAGTTTCCCCTCTTGCCACTGTTCAAAGCTCCATGGACTTGTTCCCTCTCATCTGGTTTGCTGGGGGAGGGACCCATCTCCTTGCTGGGTCCCTGCTATACTGACATCTTCCCGAACAATGGCAAATTCTTTCTAAAAAAAATTTAAAGCATGTATAAGTTTTTGGATAAATTGTGTATTTCTGTAAGCATAGTTATGTAAGGTTTTAAAAATCAATCAATCAATCAAACAAGGCACAAACCTCGAATAGCTAAAGCAATCTTATACAACAAAAACAAAGCCGGAGGCATCACAATACCAGATTTCAGGACATACTACAGGGCAGTTGTAATCAAAACAGCATGGTACTGGTACAGAAACAGATGGATAGACCAATGGAACAGAATTGAAACACCAGAAATCAACCCAAACATCTACAGCCAACTTATATTTGATCAAGGATCTAAAACCAATTCCTGGAGCAAGGACAGTCTATTCAATAAATGGTGCTGGGAAAACTGGATTTCCACGTGCAGAATCATGAAGCAAGACCCCTACCTTACACCTTACACAAAAATCCACTCAACATGGATTAAAGACCTAAATCTACGACCTGACACCATCAACTTACTAAAGAACATTGGAGAAACCCTTCAAGATATTGGCACAGGCAAAGAGTTTCTGGAAAAGACCCGGGAGGCACAGGCAGTCAAAGCCAAAATCAACTATTGGGATTGCCTCAAATTGAGAAGTTTCTGTACTGCAAAAGAAACGGTCAGGAGAGTGAAGAGACAACCGACAGAATGGGAAAAAATATTTGCAAACTATGCAACAGATAAAGGGTTAATAACCAGAATCTACAAAGAGATCAAGAAACTCCACAAAAACAAAACCAACAATCCACTTAAGAGATGGGCCAAGGACCTCAATAGACATTTTTCAAAAGAGGAAATCCAAATGGCCAACAGGCACATGAAAAAATGTTCAAGGTCATTAGCAATCAGGGAAATGCAAATCAAAACCACAATGAGGTTTCACCTCACCCCGGTTAGAATGGCTCACATGCAGAAATCTACCAACAACAGATGCTGGAGAGGATGTGGGGAAAAAGGGACACTAACCCACTGTTGGTGGGAATGCAAACTGGTCAAGCCACTATGGAAGTCAGTCTGGAGATTCCTCAGAAACCTGAAGATAACCGTACCGTTCGACCCAGCCATCCCACTCCTTGGAATTTACCCAAAGGAATTTAAATTGGCAAACAAAAAAGCGGTCTGCACCCTAATGTTTATTGCAGCTCAATTCACAATAGCTAAGACCTGGAACCAACCTAAATGCCCATCAACGGTAGACTGGATAAAGAAATTATGGGATATGTACACTTTAGAATACTATACCGCAGTAAGAAACAACGAAATCCAGTCATTTGCAACAAAATGGAGGAATCTGGAACACATCATGCTGAGTGAAGTAAGCCAGTCCCAAAGGGACAAATACCATATGTTCTCCCTGATCGGTGACAACTGGCTGAACACCAAAAAGGAAACCTGTTGAAGGGAAATGGACACTATGGGAAACAGTGGCTTGATCAGCATAGCCCTGACTGTTAATGAACAACTTAATATATTATCCCTCTTAGTAGTTTCTTTGTTCTACTTAATATGACTGGTTTAATTCTGTAATTATCACACAGTTATTCTTAAGTGTTGAAAATTAACTGAAATGTGATCCCTGTTAAACATAAGAGTGGGAATAAGAGAGGGAAGAGATGTATAATTTGGGACATGCTCAAGCTGACTTGCCCCAAATGGTAGAGTTAGAAACATACCAGGGGATTCCAATTCAATCCCATCAAGGTGGCATGTACCAATGCCATCTCACTATTCCAAGTGATCAATTTCAGTTCACAATTGATCATAATGAAAGGACTAAGAGTCAAAGGGAGCACATAAACAAGTCTAGTACCTGCTAACACTAACCGATAGAATAAATAAAGGGGAGAGTGATCCAACATGGGAATTGAGATACTCAGCAGACTCATAGAATGGCGGATGTCCTAAATAGCACTCTGGCCTCAGAATCAGCCCTAAAGGCATTTGGATATTGCTGAAAAGCCCATGAGAGAATTTCAGGCATGGAAAGCCAAGACACTCTGGAAAAAGATCTCTGCGAGTGAGATCCCAGTGGAAAGAACAGGTCATCAAAGAAGGAGGTACCTTTCTCTGAAGGGAGGAGAGAACCTCCACTTTGACCATGACCTTGTCTAAACAAGATAAGAGTCGGAGAACTCAGAGGGCTTCCATAGCCTTGGAAACTCATGACTGGAGCATAGGGAGATTACTGATGCCATAGACAAGTTGTCAATTGGTAAAGTCAACAACAGGAGTCACTGTGTACTTACTCCTCATGTAGGATCTCTGTCCTTAATGTGCTGTACATTGAGATTTAATGCTATAACGAGTACTCAAACAATATATTTCACTTTGTGTTTCTATGGGGGTGCAAACTGTTGAAATCTTTACTTAATGCATACTAAACTGATCTTCTGTTAAAAAAAAAAAAGAAATTATCAATTCCCAACTTGACTCTCACTGGGATTAAACATGACAATAGGTCTGATCTGATTTCATCATCATTTAAAAAATATCATCTATTATTTTTCACTTTATGTTTCTGTGTGGGATCAAACTGTTGAAATCCTTACTTAATGTATACTAAGCTGATCTTCTGTATATTAAGATAATCGAAAATGAATCTTGATGTGAATGGAAGGGTAGAGGGAGTGGGAAAGGGGAGGGTTGTGGGTGGGAGGGACGGTATGGGGGGGAAGCCATTGTAATCCATAAGTCGTACTTTGCAAATTTATATTCATTAAATAAAAGTTAAAAAAAAAAGGAGAGAACAATCCAACATGGGAAGTGGGATACACAGCAGACTGCTAGAATGGCAGATGTCCTAAACAGCACTCTGGCCTCAGAATCAGCCCTTAAGGCATTCAGATCCAGCTAAAAAGCCCATGAGAATATTTTAGGCATGGAAAGCCAAGACACTCTGAAAAAAAAAACTAAATGAAATATCTCTCTTAGTGGGATCCCAGTTGAAAGAACAGGCCATCAAAGAAGGAGGTACCTTTCTCTGAAGGGAGGACAGAACTTCCACTTTGACTATGACCTTGTCTACATAAGATCGGAGTTGGTGAACTCAAGAGGCTTCCATAGCCTTGGCAGCTCATGACAAGAGCCTAGGGTAATTACCCTATACCATAAATAAGAGTGTCAATTATTAAATCAACAACAGGTGTCACTGTGCACCCTCTCCCAATGTAGGATCTCTGTCCTTAATGCATTATACTATGTGAATTAACGGTATAACTAGTACTCAAACAGTATTTTTCACATTGTGTTTCTGTGTGGGTGAAAACTGTTGAAATCTTTACTTAGTATATACTAAATTGATCTTCTGTATATAAAGAAAATTGAAAATGAAAAAAAAAGAAAAAGAATTATGGACATGTACACCATTTATTTGCTTTTTTGTATGAAAAATCAATTAGAAAAAAACAATTATTTTTAAAAATTTCATTCTAATAATTGTTTATGTTATTATCTCTCTATGTAGATTTCAAATACAAAGTGTGCAGGCATACCATTTTTTTACCCCACAAATTGACAATCCAATGAAATTTCTACACACATTTAGGGTTGTTTTAATGTTATTACTACTGTGAACTCAGTTTTTGTGTCTTCTACTTTCTCTTGGAAAAGCACAATGTATACTTCATCAGAGGAAAATAAATGGACAACTGATTCACAAAAAACAAAAAAAAAGGCTTCTTTAAGAAATGAAATCAACAATCTATGGCATAAGAGCCAAACAATCTTACCATTTGTTTTTTTAAAAACAATTTTGTTGGAACAGAGCCATACAAAATCATTCACATATTTCGTATTACTACTCTTATGCTTCAAAGGTAAACAGAGACCATACAGTCAACCAACTCTGAAACCTCTTTTTGTAGTTCATTTCCTGTCTTCTTTCTAACCATCAACAGATGTGTTTTTTTTTGTTTTTTTTTTTTTTGCAGAAATGTTTTCTTAGATACCTGAAGCCCTTTGTTTATACCCAAGGTAGGCTAAAAGTGTTACTGAATGAGTGTTTCTAGTCAGGCCTTAGCCAACAACTTTTTGTGGGGGGTGGGATATCTGAATTGCCTGTTCTATATTTCCAACATTTCTCAGTCACATGATGTGCTAGTCCCCCACAGTGGTAGCTGTGATATCTTTCTTTCATATTTCATTCCTTATGTCCCAGCCACTCTTTCCTGGATTGTGTCCCAAATAAACTACTTCACACTCAAAAACAATAATAATAATTAAAATCACATGGTCACAAAAGTTATGATCTGGCTCATTGGAAGAAAAAGTATGCCAACTACTTTTCTAGACCACTCTGACATAAGAAATGAAATTTTAAAATGCCCTTTTAGGTCAAAAGAATAGTACAATTTCTTTACTGAATAAAGTGACTTAGGGAAAGATCACCTTAAGATGATAAACTTTACACTATCAAGAGAGCAACCTTCAGAAAACAATCAGGAGAGCAACCATTAAAAGAAATATATTTTGAGGCCGCACTGGCATAGTGGGTAAAGCCACCACTTGCAGTGCCAGCATCCCATATGGCCACTGGTTTGAGTCTCAGCTGCTCTACTTCCATTGCAGCTCTCTTCTATGGCCTGAGGAAGCAGTAAAAGATGGCCCAAATCCTTGGGTCCCTGCACCCATGTGGGAGACCTGGAAGAAGCTCCTGGCTCCTGGCTTCAGCCATTGTAGACAACTGGAGAGTGAACCAGAGGATGGAAGACCTCTCTCTCTCTCTCTCTGCCTCTCCTTCTCTCTATGTGCAACTCTGACTTTCAAATAAAAAAATAAATCTTTTTTTAAAAAAATAGATATTTTAAAATATGTCTTTGTATTATATTTGCTTCAGATTTAGTTATGGATACATGAAAGTAACTGGAAGGAAATATATGAGAAAAATAATGTATTTAGAGAAAAATTACGTCAAAAATATGGTACAGCAGAAAAAGAACCTGAAATACTAATTCCACTTCCAATCTGACTCCCTGCTAATGCACCTGGCAAAACTGCAGAGGATGGTCAAAATGCCTAGGCCACTGCATCTATGTGGGAGACCTGAATTAAGCTCCTGGCTCCTGGTCCTGTTTTTAGCCTGGCCCAGCCCCAGCAGTTAGGACCATTTGGAGAGAGAACCAATGACTGGAAGATATCTCTCTCTCTTTCTCTTTCTCCCTTTGTACTCTACAGAATACTATATCCTTGGGCCACTGCACCTGCATGGGAGACCTGTAGGAAGCCCCTGGCTCCTGGCTTCAGATTGGCAAAGCTCTGACCATTGCATCTACCTGTGAGGTGAACCAGTGAGTGGAAGACTTTTCTCTCTCTTTCTGCATCCTCTTCTCTGTAACTTTGCCTTAAAATAAAATAAATAAATCTTTTTTTAAAAAAAAAAAGGTACAGTAAGTATATAAGGTACCACTGTGCTCATTTGTATGAATTTTTATACCATGCTAAGCTGCTAGTATGAGCAATAGATAGAATCATCCATTTTGGGGGTCTTGCTAAGAAGATGTCAGGGAAGGACAATGAGGGCAGGGTTTTCATCTATTAGTAAGGGAATATTGAAGTTATTAATAATTCCTATTTAAGTAGGAAAGAATGGGAACTGAAGTCAGAAGAAACTGATAGACCAGGAAAAAAATGAGAGTCCAGTGGGACTGAAGCACTAGATGAGTAGAAAGAGCTAAATATGCAAGTCAGGATGTTAAACCTTCTTTTTCACGTGAATATTCAACTGTGGATGTCTGCTGGCATCCTGAAAAGAAGTGCACATCAGTTAGAATTAGATCTCATAATAAGACACACAAAAACATACAAGTGGCTTAATGATATAAAGGTTTATTTTCCAAAGGAAAGAATTCTGGAGTTAAAAAAGAGTAGTTAAAATAATTCATCAAAAATTTCAACTCATAATGTCTTCCGTGCTATCCATGTCTTATTACATATTCAAAATGTTCTTCAAGTTACATCAATAATGTCATATCTATCCAACAGAAAAATTGAACAACAAATAATGAAGGACATATAATTTATATTTAAAGACAAATCTCAGAAGTTACATTGCACAATTCAACATATATTATACTGGCCAGCATCTAGTCACATGCAGAAGGTGCTAGGGACTCTAATCTTTAAACCAGGCTGTCATAGGTCAGGAGGTCTATTAATAATGAAGAAAAGTGAGCATAAAGCATGATAAGAAATCTGTACCCCACAACTTCATTTTGACAATGAATCCATAAGAAGCTGCAAAACAATTTCTGGATAGTTAGCTAGAATTGAAATCAACATTAGGACTTAACGACATCATTTTGCGATAAGGGTACACTTCTGAATTACAGCATCACATTGTTCTCCTTCAGTGGACAATGGTCAAGGTACCTGAGTCAGACTTCCAAAGCCTGAAGAAAGGTCTTAACACACCTTGGAATTTCTCCTGAGTAAAGCTGATAATATGAAATTCGTCTGTCATGTTATAGAATGACACATCTCCATCTTCATAATCCAGGAATATCCCCACCCTACGGGGGTTCTGTCTCAGAGTAAGATGAGTTTCTGGGGAAGTGAGAGCCCAGTACTCCCCCTCATAAAGCCTGATGGCCCAGAAACCATTTTGTGGGGATATTGTGACTTGCCCCTTCCTAGTTACATTGTCCTTACAAATTCCCAGATCATAAGAAACTGTGTCCCCAATATCTACCTCCCAGTAGTATCTCCCAGAGGTGATACTCAGCTGACCCAGCACACAGGGAAGGGAATCGAATCTCTGTGGGGAGTCAGGGAGATCTTGCCACACTTCTTGCCAGGTTACACGTCTCTGTTCAGACAGGAAGAGGGCAGGATGGGCAGTGTCTGCATCCAGGGTCACGTTTACTGCAATGACAAGAGAATCATCATGATCTAACTAAGGAAAATCTCAATATTCCTGGACCAGAGAAACTGTAGTCTGTGAGAGCTTCTCTGGCCCTAGGTGGATTCTGCTAACCTCTATCCATCTTTGTGCGGGACTACACACAAAGAACAGGATCCCTGCTACATCATCATAGACTCACCAGCCTGGAACTCTTCTTTCCTCCAATCTGCAAAAAATATATCAACATCAGAACCCACCATCTGAGAAAGAAACCTACCTGACCATTCAGAGTATAAATTCCTGAGGTTTTTCTTTAAAATAATAGCAGCTAAAGAAAATTTTCTTACATATCCTTGCCCTTCATTGTATAGCCTCCGAAATCAAGTCAGACTTCAAGACGTGACCTATGCCAATGCTCTCATTAGAAAATTCTGTAACAATCGTTGACCTATTTAGATGTTGGAGAGGTATTAGGGCATATGGTGAATTTGGCTTAACAACTTATGTTTTGCTTTGTTTCTTCAAATTATAGTACACAATTACCAATCTATCTTCCCTCAACACCTAAGGCAATACACAAATTAAAAAGATTAAAAGTTAATGTTTTAATCACATTATGTGTTAAGATTTTAAGTGTATTTTTAAAGGTAAAATGAAGGGGGTTGAGGAGAGAGATGGAGAAAGAGAAAGAGGGAGAGACAGAGAAATAGGGAATGACAGAAAGAGAGAGAGAGAGAGAGAGAGAGAGAGAGAGAGATGCTCTTCTATCTACTGTAGTGAGTGAGGCTGGGCTAGACTAAAACCAGGAGCCCAGAACTCCATCCAAGTCTCCCACGTGGATGGAGGGGAACCAAGTACAAGTACTTGGCCCATCACCTGCTCACTTGTCAGATGTATCAATAGGAAGCTGGATTGTAAGCAGAGTAACTTGAAATCATATTGAAATCATATTATCACTCTAATATGTGATGCAGATATCCCAAACAGTAGCTTATCTTCTGTGCCAAAATACCCACCCCAATGCATAGGATGTTATTTTTATGAAAGGTATGCTTTGGATTTCTTTTTCTTTGTAATGTTTTGTACATTGAAGATGTTCATTTATAATATTTTCAATAATAGGTTGTTTTTAGAAACCAGGTCACTCACCAGGGTATAATGCTGCTTTCTTCCAGTCTGCAAGAAAAGAAAACAGGAAACATTTTTTTCCTTCTGCGTCTTCTCTTATTGCCTTTCTCATATCTCCCTGTATTTTTCTCTCATTTCCTCCTCTACATCATTTGTCCTTTCTTTTTCTAGCCTATATCCTTATATTTCAAAGACACGATGATGAAAATGATCAAGTGAAGATAATGTAGAAAAATAAAAACAATAAAAAGGTAGAGTGTGAAGGTGAGAGCATGAAATGAATGAAAGAAGAAAGAGCAATGGGTGTAAAGAGGGGCATGAAGAATACTGTGTTTTTTGGATATACACCCAGCAGTGTCATTGCTGTGTCAAATGGCAGCTCTAAAGCCATGCACTCTACTCTTGCTGGTAAAATCACTGGCATGCTGTTGGAGAGTAATAATTCAGAACCTCTTTCATATGCTAGAGTCTCCAGAGTCTCTCTGTAGCAAAGTTGATGTAGCTGTAGCTGTACCACAAGCCCTCCTACTAATACAGTGCCACTGGTGTTCCAACTGCTTAGAACTGATCAAGGACCATAAAAGCAACCCATGCACCACCAGAGAAAAAAATCTAAACACCAAAACCTAAATATTTTTGAAAAAAAATTGCAAAATATAAAATACAGTTTAAAAAAGAGAAGAAATTTTAAACTCCATGTACCAAGCAATCGCCAGGTCTAGCAAGCATAATACCAGTCCTAGACTAAAGCTACAATAACAACAAAACAATAAAAATAGTAAAATATAAAAACAAATTAATGTTTTATAAACTCTGGAAAAAAGACTTTTCAGCAAAATGCAAAAATTTAAAGCATTCCTTTCTTTAATTTTCTAATTCTTTTACTGTAGAATAGCATAGAATGTCAGCTCTATTTTAAGGAACAGAAATGATGATTGAGCAAGGAAATATAATTTGGATTATAAGATTCTTATTTTAATAAAAATTCCTTAATGGTGGAAGAAAAGAATTCTTTGTACTGTTTTCCACAATGGTTTTACTAATTTATATGCCCATCAACTATGTAAGAATCTCTCTTTCCCATAACCTCACTATTATTTTAACTCTCTTTTTGATATTAGCTATTTTAATTGGAGTAAAGTGACATCTCATTATGATTTTGAAGCCTAGTGAAACTGAGCATTGTTCATATATTGTTGACCATTTGTATTTAGTCTTTTGAGAACTGTCTATTCTGATCTTCTGCCAATTTTTCCACTGGATTGGTTTTTGTTGTTGAATTTTTTGAGTTCCTGATATATTTTGGATATTAATCTTATTTCAGAAAGGAGATACTTGCTTCACTTTTTTATTGTGGCACTATTAATAATAACTGGTAAAAGGAATCTACCAAGGCATATATGAATAAAGAATACTTAAGTATGTATGTATACATACGTATATGTTTATATATACAAACAATGCAATATTATTCAACTACCAAAACGAATGAAATTCTATCAGTTGGAGCAAGATAGATGAAAGGGAGATCATCACGTTAAGCAAAATAAGCCAAATACAGAAGGACAAATACTGCATGTTCTACACTGTATGTAGTGGCTAAAAGAAAAAAACAACAACAATAACAACAAAAGCTCAGTATGGGAATAGAATAGAATAGAATAGAATAGAATAGAATAGAATAGAAACAAGAGGCTGGAAGTAAAGGGGTGGGAAGAACAGAGGAAATTTGGTTAAAACATTAGGGTCAGTGGAGTGTGGTTCATTAACTGTCCCTATACTAAGGTATCAGCGAATTTGGGTGTGGTTTCTTAACTATGACAAATATACAAATATAAGATGGTAATAAGGGGAAAACGCATGTGGGGTATATTTGAACTCTGTACTACACTTTTGTATTGTAAATATAAAACTATCTGGGAGCCAGCACTGTGCCATAGTGGGCTAAGCTTACACCTGCAGTGCTAGCATCCCATATAGGCACCTGTTCCAGTCTAGGCTGCTCCTCTTATGACCCAGGTCTCTGCTAATGGCCAGAGAAAGCAGTGAAAGATGGCCCCACTGCTTGGGCCCCTGCACACTTGTAGGAGACCTGGAAGAAGCTCCTGGCTCCTGGCTTCAAATCAGCTCAGCTCTGGCCATTGCAGCCATTGGGGAGTGAACCAGCAGATGGAAGACCTTTCTCTCTGTCTCTACCACACTCTGTCTGTAACTCTACCTCTCAAATAAACAAATAAATCTTTAAAAACATTTCTTAAATTTAAAAAGTTTTTAATTTTTTAAAAAATAATATCTTAAAAAATATAAAACTTATACTATTAAAAAAATAACCTTCACCCCATTGTTGAAACACTTTTAGGTTGTACTTCAGAAAAATAATGGCCCAAACCCTTCTTTGAAAAATAGGGAATTTTTGTTGCATTTCTGTATACTAACCAATTGCTATAGGGGTTAAATGCAAAAAGACAGAAAAATAGAATTTTTTGAGAGAATGATTATTCACTGAACTTGAATTGAGCCTACTTCTATCTGAGAAAAGCTATGTCAACATGCATCCTATAATTGCTAAAGGACTCAGATATGAACTGAACCATAGAAGATATAAGAATGAAGGTTTCCAAGAGATAAAAATTACTTACCAATCTTATATTGAGCCTTCCTCCTACCTGAGAGAAAAATATATAAAAACATATCTTTATGAGATGGGTTTTGTTAATATTATAAAGATTACACAGTTCAAACCATATATCTGTCAATGTTCATACCTGCAACACTGGACACATCATATTCATTTCATTAACAGTAAAATAAAACTCTAACGTTCATTCCAACCAAACACTTCACACCAATTGGAAGAAAACTATCTAAGGTATAAATAGCTAAATACAAGGGGCTTCAGAAATATTTTATGAAGTGGAATTAAAAGATAAGTTTTATTTTGGTGTGAAATCTTTGACATTTATCTATAGATTTTTTCATAATTCACATTTTCTGAAAACTTTTTGAGACCCTTTGTAATTCTTATAATGTGGCACTAAAATTTGTAGAAATTTCTTAGAACAAGTCCTTAGATTTTAAAGATATATTTCCAATGGAATTTGTGTGACTAACAATGCATACTAAATTCATGAAAGAAGAAAAATTCAGAATTGAGTAGACTAAAAAGAAGAAACAGCACTAGTAACTGTGATTGGAAAGAGAAAATTATGATTAAAAAAAACATGGAAAAATATTTAATGCCTTGCATTATTTAAAATAAGGTCAAATAATACAGATTAGCAAATCTCAAGACCACACTCAATAATAGTATACTCAAGTTGTTTAAATGGCCAATAAAAGGAGGAACTTATGTCTCTCAACAAATTTGGAGTCTGATACCCAGAGTTATGAATTAAGATATTATCATATGAAAAAGAATGAACACTCTACTACAGAAGATGTGTTGTACAACACAATTAAAGAAAATTTTGAGTGGAAAAACTACATTCCTCTTGGCATAATCCCTTTCATCTCATGACCTTTTAAAGAAGATATAACAACTATCTTCAAGACAGAAGAAGCCGATGAAAATATAACATAGGAAACAAATGGGATGAAGGGAAGGAGAGGGAGAGGATCAGAAGGAAATTCATGATGACAAAAGTTCAGGAAGCCAAATAGAAGACATATAGTTCAATTGGAAATCAACAATAAGGAAAAGCAGAGAAGAGTAGCGAGGATGTGAAGAGAAAAGAAATGGCAAAAAAAATCTAAGAAATTTAACAGGAAGAAAAAGTCAGAAAAATTACCAAGTTCTCTCTGAAGTTCTTCTGAAAAATAAAATGGAAAACTCATATAAATGTCAGGGGGCAACATGGGTGTAGTTAGAGTACTTTAACACATGAAATCTTAAAAAACAAGTATCACAGAAACAGTGTACAAGGTTTATTATTAGAAACTGAAGGGGCCTGAAACTTCAGGTATGGAATACATGAAATTTGTATACCTTAAATAAAATTTAAAAAAAAGAAGCTGGAGGGAGGGAGGAGGGACAGGGAAAGAAAAGAGGTTGATCAAAATGTACAAAGTTTCAGTTAAAATGGAGGTCAACAATTTAGACTATAATGTAAACACAGTTCCTAACAATATGAATTTCAAAGTTCTTCTAAAAGGTACATTTTTAATACTCTTACCACTAAAATTATAAATTGATGACAAATATATTAATTAACCTGATTGAGTTTTTCTAAAATGTATACATGAATCAAAACATCACATTATACTCCATAAAATGCAAAATTAATAATTATCAAATAAAATTCAAGAATTTAAGGGAAATCAGCAATGAAGATGTAAATGGGTTAAATTTCTACTGTAAAGGATATATGCATAGAATTAATATGATTTGTAGGATAAATATAACCATGAACAAATCAATAAAGTGACAAGGAAGCTTATTTCTAGCTTAGGAAATTGAAAAGGGGAATATAGAAAAGCTAAAACTTGATAAAAGAATTTAAATGATGGGAAAGAAAGATTAAAATTTATACTAATTTATACTAATTTTATAGATTAAAACATTAAAGTAATTCAACTAATCCAACACACATACACATGAGTGGAAGGGCTTTAAAAAGTGGAAAAATGGAATTAAAAGATGATACCTCTCTGTTTTTCTCCCTGTGCCCCTACCTTTCAAATACATGAATAAATACATAAACTTTTTTAAAAAATGGATTGTGCATTTGGAGCAGTTGTTAACCCACTGCATGGGATGTCAGCAAGGGTTCAAGTCCTGTCTCCACTTCTGAGCCCAGCTTCCTGCTAATGCACACCCCAGGAAGCAGTCATGATTACTCAATGGTTAGGTCCTGGCTACACCACATGGAAGACCCAGATGACTTCCTGTCTCCTGGCTGTGTCCTGGCCCAGCCTGACTTTTGTATGCTTTAGGGAATAAAGCAGAGAATTGGAAATCTCCCTCTGTCTCTGTATAACTCTCTGTCTTTCAAAGCAAATGAATAAATAAAATTTAAAAATAAGTAATGAGAATTTTCCATGAACTTCTTGAAGCCTCTTGTATGGGATGGTGCATTGCCTTCCTCTATAGGTAATGTATATTTTATAACACATGCCATCTTGGTATTAGTGTATTGTAGTGTATATTTTAATTTTCCAAGATTTCTCTTAATATGTCAGAAGAAACAAGATAGCTTTAAATAAAATATAATTTTCATAATTAGTATTCATCATTAGAGTGTGATCAAGACTTTTAAAAATGTTAATAGACATATAAAAATATACATATTTGTGAGGCACATAGTGACGTTTTGGTACATGTATAACTTCTAATCAGGGTAAACGTGTTCAAATCCTCAAACATTTAGCATTTCTTTTTAAGGAAAACACCCAAAGTCCTATCTGCTGGGTGTTTTGAATTAGAGAAATGTACAGTACATTAATACTATCTGTTATCACCCTACTGCGCAGTAGCATCCCAGCACTGTGCACTCCTATCTGACTATAACTTTGTACACATTAATCAACCTTTTTCCATCTCTCCTTCCCCCTTTGTCTCCTCAGCCTTTGATAACCTCCAAGTGCTTCTTAGAAAATATTAGAGCCATTAAGAAAGCAAATTACTGTAACATCTGGGAATAATATTTTTGCAAAGATTATAGTCTATAGTTCTTCATATTTATTGAAATTCATTAGAGTTTAATTGAGTTGTCAATTGACAGAACTTTTAAATTTATCTTTGATAAACAGTTCTTCTGTGGTGTTTATCATTTACCTCAGGAGCCCTTCAAACAATCTGGTGACATTGCTTTATTAAGATCTTTACTATTCCTAATACTTATATATAAGAACGCAATTTCTCAGCCTACAAATCTTAATTTAAAAATAAGAAAATAAATGGAATAAAGTTGATATTGGTCACTGACTCAGGTGATTGAGAGAAATAAAATTAAATGAGGAAGAATAAGAAAGGAGGAAAGACAGAGGGATGGGAGGGAAGCATCATTATGCTCCTACATCTGTATATGTGAAATACATGAAATATGTTCACTTAAATAAATATAACAACTATAAAAAATTAAACATGAGTGAATCAAGGTTAAAAATACTATGAAAATTTTAATTACAATATAAATGTATATCATGCATATTATGTGAATAAAAATCGATAGTGGGGCCAGTGCTGTGGCATAGTGGGTAAAGCCTCCACCTACAGTGCCAGAATCCCATATGGGTGCCCGTTCTAGTCCCAGCTGCTCCACTTCCGATCCAGCTCTCTCTATGGCCTGGGAAGGCAGTAGAAGATGGCCCAAGACCTTGGGCCCCTTCACCCACGTGGGAGACCCAGAAGAACTCCTGGCTCCTGGCATGGCTTTGGCTGTTGCAGACAACTGGGGAGTGAACCAGCGGATGGCCTCTCTCTCTCTCTCTCTGCCTCTCCTTCGCTCTCTCTGTAAATCTGACTTTCAAGTAAAATAAATAAGTCTTTTTAAAAAACCTGATAGTTTTATTTAAAGAATAACTTGAATAATTCACTGAGAAATTCATGAAGAAGAATTTGAGAGAATATTTAAATTGTTTGAGATAGACTTAGTTTTTCACAATTATTTTTAGGATTATATGATCAAAATGTTTGAAGACTGTGCTTTAAACTTTCTTATCCCATCTATTTCCCTATACATGACATTAAGCTTCAGTGATATTTCTTAAAAAGTTCACATGTACTTTAGAAGGATGAGCGCATAATCTAGAACACATAGGTATTGTTTTGATTGCTCCTTGGCGATTTTTGTACTTTATAATACTTCAAGTTTTTATATGATACTTAATTCTTTATTTGCTTCACATTCTTTAAAGAAACCCATTTTGTTGTGGTATTTCATCCTGGTTCTTTTGCCATTTCTCCTGAATGATCCATAAACTTCAGTGAAGGGAGGTTATAGACTTCCAGAAATAAAATGACTCTTGGTTCAGTCTTATTCATGGAAAAAATAGGATGCCGTTACCTCATATCCATTCTAGGAAGGAAAATAATGTTATTCCTTAACTAAATTGCATGAAATGAAAACATGTATGAAGTATAAATTCATCACACGCTGTTTGGAATATTTTGTCATTTCTTAAGGTTGAAGCCGTATAATGTGCAAGTAATTTACACTAACAGTTGGAATATCTGATGCAGGTCCTAAATCAAGAGACATTTCCCAGTTATACATATTGAATGGACTTATGTGCCTATTTGCTTAACCCCCGTCATCTCACCAAAATCATCATGAAACTTCAGAAGCATTTGAATATGAAAGAAGCAACAGTTATAGCAAAGGAATGACATGGAATGAAAAAAGGAGTGAGAAAGGTTGGAAAAGATGAGGAAAAAGAAACAGAGAGAACATAATATTGGAGTGGCCCATAACCAAAAAAAAAAAATAATAAAGAGGGAAGAATAGAGCAGATATTTGGAAAAGGGAGACCTAAGGAATGGCATCTAGGAAAAGAGAGATGGAAAGCTATCAAAATCAAGAAAGCAATCATTTTAAGGTTATATGGGGATAAAGGACTGTCAGACAATATTTACCATTATTTCTCTGAAGTTCATCTGAAAATAAGATGGAAAAAATCAATATAAATAGTCTTATTATAAAAATCAGGGTTAAGAAAATTCCAACTTATGAAAAACACAATGCAAAGTTT